TCCCGCCCCCTCGCCTCCGCTCCCCGCCCCGCCGCGGATGTTTACCGGGCCGCGGCCCCTCGCAGCCCGCCGTGACGGGCAACGGCGCCTCCGCCGCCTTCTCCGACCGCCCCGTCCCGCTCCGCCTGCCCGAGGGCCGGCCGCCTCTGTGGTACCCGTCCCTTGCGGTCCCGCTCGGCGCCTTCTCCGAGCCCCGCGGCAGCCCGGGGGGGCGGCGGGACGGGCCTTGTCTGTCTCTGCCCCCGCGGGAGGACAAGGCCCTCCTGCCGCAGCCCAGCGGGCCTGGGGCCGCTCCGGTTCGGGGGAGGCACCGAAGCTTTGCCTATCTCCGAGTATGATCAAAGGCATGATTTTAAGCTTGAGGGTTTTTTCGACGCCTTCAGCTCTTACTTCGAATTAATTTCTTCATCATCAAAACTAACTGTGCAATATTTATGGGAAATACCTCCGCAAGAGGAGTGCCGGCAGCTGAATTTCCATTGCCGAGTCGTGCGACCCTCCCGCGCTGCGCTGGCTTGAGTTACGAAAGGTGACCAAGGAACGGCAGGGGCCAAATTTTACCTCAAATTACAATGTATTTGGAAGGTATATGCACACATTGAAAGGCTAGTTTTGCTTAAATGTAGGCTTTTATATCATTCTAACTTACCAGTCCTCTCATGGAGAGAGGCACGTTTCGTTTTGAATTGGCTTAAGCACTAATTTAATAAAGCAGAATAAAGAGAACAGGATCGATGATGACTGTCATAATGTTTTTAGATTTTTTGCTTTAATTGCATAAAGAAACTAAGTGTTCAAGGCCAGGCTGGATGGGGCTTTGTGCAACTTGGTCTAGTGGAAGGTGTCCCTGCCCATGGCAGGGGGGGTCGAACTGGATGGTCTTTAAGGTCTCTTCCAACACTAACCGTTCTATGATTCTGTGAATCAATTAAATAAAGGCCGAAGCCAAGCCCCGCAGCTCCGGGAGGTGCGGGGGGGCCTCACGGCAGACACAGCGCCTGAGGCGGGCACCTGCCGGGCAGCCCCACTTGGGGGACTTGAGAGAAGCCGTCCAGGCGCGATCCTCAGAGGTGGGCGGCTTAGGGCCGGCGGTTCCACTTTCCTGTGGAAATCCTAACAGGAAAGGAGAAAATGCCGGGCTCCCCGGGGACTCCCCCGTTTCCTTGCAGGTACCGTGCCGCGCCGCTGCCTTCCCGCCCGGGGCTCCGGGGGAGCTGCCGTCCCCACAGAGCGCCCGGCGGGCGGTGAGGGGGCTCGCGCCCCGCCCCGTAGCCTGCTGGGACCTGCAGTCCGCGCGACGCCGGCGGGGCGGGGCGCGAGACGGCGCTTCCCGGCGTGCCCCGCCCGCGCATGCGCCTGGGCGCTGGTGTGCGCCGGCGGCCGCCGCTGAGGGGGCTTCTGCCCGTTCCCGGCCCGCCCGGGCGCTTCTCGCCCCACGCCCTTCCTTCTCCGCGGGGCTATGAAGCCGTAGAGCCCCGCTGGGCCGTAGGAACTGTTCTCCGCCAGCATGTTCGGCCGCTCCCGTAGCTGGGTGGGCGGCGGGCACGGGAAGGCCGCCCGCAGCATTCACTCCTTGGACCATCTCAAGTAAGCGGGGAGCCGGCCGCGGGCTCGGGGGCAGCTGTGAGGGGGACAGCGGGCGGCCCTGCCGGGTTCTGAGGGGACTAGGAGCGTAGGAGCCGCCGGGAGGGGCGGTAGGTGGACGGGCTGCGTCTGCGGAGCTGCTCGGGGCAGGAATTTACCTCAGAAAGGGCTGCGGTGCGAGGCGGGGGCCGGCTCGTGGCCGTGAGGCGGGGGCCGGCTCGTGGCCGTGAGGCGGGGGCCGGCTCGGGGCCGTGAGGCGGGGGCCGGCTGGGCCGTTCGCCCCCTCTTCGCCTGAGCCCTTGGGCGCAGCTCTCCCGAGGCGAAGGCTGCCGGAGCGGTTCTCCAGCGGCCACAGAGGCTCCGTGCGGGGCGGGCTGGTGTCCTGCCTGGGGAAATCTGCCCCTTTTCTGCCTCTTCGTCCCAAAATCTCTTCAGGGCAGACGCGGTTCCGTGATGTCATGTAACACTCATGGTTACGATGTGTGTTCCTTCGCTTTTTAATAATGTCACAGGCTTGTCCTGTGGAGTCGAGTGTAAGAGGTGATAAATACAAGAAGTATCGCATTCCTCTTGAGAGAGGACTTTATTTCCTGGTAGTGGTTAAAACAGGGAAGTGAGGAGCCTGGTCCCAGCCTGTGAACAATATAGACCTTTTGAAGTGTGTGTGTGTATGTCTTAGTAGTCAGGTTTGCAGGTCTAGGGGATCTGCCCTGGTTAGAAGGCTCAAAAGTAAAGCCCTTGAGCTTGAGAACTGTAATCTTAGTCTCAGGAGTCTGATATCCTTGTGTTACTGCTGACTGCAGAAGGTGGGATAGTTTTTTCTAGTTCTGGCACTGGAGGGTTGGAAGGATGACAAAGAATAAAGCAATTTTAAATTATCTGTTCCATTTTAAGGCTTCTGCTCCTGTGAAAAAAATAAGGTCCACTGTTATAGCTTCTCTTTCCACTGAACAACAAAAGGAGGTTGTTAAGAGAGGAAGCATCTTCTAAATTAGATCGCTGTGAATACATAGCTCATTGAGAAATAAGTAGCTGGTAGTTTTCAATGACTAGTCAAATTACAAGGATGATGTGAACGGGGTCTTGCAGTAATGAGTAGGATGCACTTACACTAGATTTGGATCTTGCAGTTACTTTATCAAGATGATTTATGGATTCTGGCCCTTGTCTCTAAACTGGAAAAATGTTCAAAACCAGCAAGACAAATTGAAGTACATGACTTTTTACCAAAGACAGGGAAATCAAGTCCATAAGTACAAAACTGATAGGACAGTAGCACTGCAGAAAGTAATTTTGAAAGCATGGTAGGTTGGATTAGTAAATCAACATGATCTGGCATTGCAGGAAAAAGGGGAGAAGTCAGGCTCAGATATAACTATAGGAATGTTCTATTTAACATAAACGGAGTAGTCATTAGATACTACTCAGCATTAGTGAAGCTTTAGATCTATCTGGTTTTGATATTACACTTGAAGGTAGAGCAAGAATGCTGATGCATGATGAAATTTGAAGAATTTGAGCTTAAATTTAGAGAAAAGAGGCTGGTGAGAGGGAGGCTTTAGGATGTTAGAATCTTTCAGGCAAGAAAAATGTGATCATGTATTCTCTCGGGACCACAAAGGGTAGAAAAAAGCAGGATGCTGTTTGATTTGCAGCAGAAGGGAATTGGGCTATAAGCATTGTGGCTTGTGCTTGACTTCTTACCTGAGAATTGAAGCATATAGTTCTCTACTAAAATACTAGCTTTTGGGGTTTGTTTTGGTTTTTGCATATAATTTATTTAATTATGAAATCTAAAATGGTAGTATGTAAAGGACAGTGAAGACAGTTGATCTGTTTAGAGTATGTATATTTTAAGCTGTTTGTTTAGCTAGACTGTATGAATTTCAGTTTCTAGCTGGATGTCAACAGCAAAGGTAGCTACTTAATGGTAAAGTGAAATTTAGGGCTTTTCTAAGCAGTAGCAGTTGAAGTGGGAAAAGCCACAGAAGAAAGAAGGGCAAAGGACCTTCATTTTGGGGTCATTAAATAAAGTTGGTCTTGATAAGCTCACTGTCTTGTGAGTTCCCTACATTCTCATTTGTTCAACTCATCAAAAACCCACATTGTGTTCCATATCAATGTATTGAGTAGAACACACACCTTGCTGTTGTAGGTTAGCTTAGCCTATATGAATTATGTTATGCTATGTTACAAGAGTGAAATTCGCCTGGGCTCTCCTTATGGGAATATTTTTATTTTTTAACATGTGTAATGTAGAGTTTAGTCTAAATTGTAAACAATACACCTATTTAGTAATACTGAGGGAGTTACTGGTTTTTGTCAGTAAACATTGAATCTGGAATTTCCTTTCCCAATCAGGTTTATTGCAGTCTGTTTGAGGCTTGCTTTTGAAATGTTACTATTCAGTCTTTCTGCAAACATGTGGGGGAACCGATTGCCTAAAGGAAAATTGTGAGGCTATTTGTATCAAGTGTTCTGATACAGTCTCTCTGTCTAGTGAAAACAATTAAAATTTAATCCAGTTTTCTAATACCTTGCTGAATTGTGATTTAGAGAGGCTATGAAACAGTACTATGCACCGCCTGAGTGCTTCTGAGTATTATTTTTCAGAGAACTTGATATTTTTGTGTCTTTTGGTTAGTAGGTAAAGGGATGTCAGTACCTTAGGCTTTCTCCATTTATTATCCTGGAAACAGCAACAATGTTAGTGATTACTTGTGAAAATGGTCTTAAATGACTTGTATCTTTAGGTGAGACTCTGTCTTGTTGAAACAAGGCCAGCATCGACTTCTTAAAGGTGGCATCCAGCAGTTTAAAATGAGACCTTTCTCCTCCCTTTATATAGTCCTCTGCTCTGTTCATTATATGCTTCCAGTTCTAAAAGCAAATACATCAAGGCTGTTTTAGCCAACAGTCTGTCATGTTACCGAAACGTGAAGTTAGTGCTTTCTCACAAGCTGCGTGTTCTTCTCTTTCTCTTGTTGCCTACCTTTGCATGTAAGCCAGATGTTCTTGTGTGGGTCAGGGTTTCTTACGGTTCTCTCCAGCCACGGACTGTGATAGGCACTGTAATCTGCTTCTGCAGCTCCTGTCCTTAGGAGCTGTGACCTACGGTTAAAGCTACCAAAAATTCTTTCATAATGTCCAGCTGAGGATAGTCTAACCTTAGCAGATACGTGGTCAGATCTACTTGAGAGGATCTTCTTTCTCCATCTGTCTAGAAACTTTGACTTTGCATTGGAATGGATGAAGAGGATTTATGTCATTTATGC